CTTGACACTGGGGCGGTGAGGCCTCGCTGCTCAGCTGATCCCAGTGCTAGGAGGTGTCGCTGCTCCGCTGATCCTGGTGCTGGGAGGCCTCGCGGCTCCGCTAGACACAGGGGCCGTGAGGCCTCGCTGCTCCGCTGATCCTGGGTTCGGGAGGCCTTGTGGATCTGCTGATCCCAGGCCAGGAGGCCTCGAGGCTCCGCTGATCCTGGTCCTGGGAGGCCTCGCTGCTCTGCTGATCCCGGTGCTGGGAGGCCTCGCTGCTCCGCTGATCCCGGTGCTGGGAGGCTCTGCTGATCCCAGGCCGGGAGGTCTTGCGGCTGCGCTGATCCCGGTGCCAGGAGGCCTCGCGGCTCCGCTGATCCCAGGTTCGGGAGGCCTTGCGGCTCTGCTGATCCCGGTGCTGGGAGGCATATTACCCTTTTACTATATAGGATAGAGGCCTGGTGCATGGGTGGGGGCCAGCTGGTTTGCCCTGAAGGGTGTCCTGGATCAGGGTGGGGGTCCCGCTTGGGTGCCTGGCCAGCCTGGGTGAGGGGATGATGGCTGTTTGCAGCTGGTCACACCCCCTTCAGGGTGGGAGTCCCCACGGGGTGCCTGGCCAGCCTGGATGAGGGGATGATGGCTGTTTGCCGCTGGTCACACCCCCTTCAGGGTGGGGGTCCCCACTGGGGTACCTGGCCAGTCTGGGTGAGGGGCTGAGGGCCGTTTTCAGGCTGGCGGGTCACTGAAGCTCCCAACCTCTCTTTTATTTCTTTTTTCTTTTTTATTCTGGGGTTTATTTACTTTCTATGGCTGTCACTGGAGCTGAGAGCCATCTTTAGCTCTGAGGCTAGGCTCCAGCTCTGAGACCTCAGCTGCTGAAAGCAGGTTTCTGGACTTCGTTTACCTTCTGTATTTGAAACTTTGTTGCGACTCCAGCTCTGAGATCCTGGCTGACTGAAAGCAGGTTTCTGGGGAATGTTTAGCTTCTATATTTGTAACAATGTTTCTTAGAGAGCAGCTGAGAGGCCGGCAAGGCAGGCGGGGAACGTTGGCTTCCTCCGTCACTGGAGCAAGCAAGCCTCCCTGTTCGCGTCAGTTGCCTGGCTGCCGGCCGCCATCTTGGTTGGCAGTTAATTTGCATATCTCACTGATTAGCCAATGGGAAGGGTAGCGAAGTTACGGCTAATTACCATGTTTCTCTTTTATTAGATAGGATATTTGGTTATATTTTCCAAAACCAAAAACAGATCAATAAAAATGGTTACCTATGTGGAAAGTAACAGAGCAGAGGGCAGGGATGGAAGCTAGAATTCTCTACATATACCTAATATAAATATAGTAGAATTTTTATATCCAATATAAAACCATAAAGCTAAAACAACTTATGGGTGTGATTTAAAGGAATAAATAGATCAATAAAACAGAACAGCAAATTCAGAAATTAAGTCAAGTATATAGAGAATATAACAGTATAAAGGTGATATTGTAGTCAGTGAACTAAAGATAATTTGTTTTTCCAAAAAATGGTGCTGTGACTGATTAAACATTTGTTGGAGACCAGGTGTAAGCTGACATGGTCCTTGCACCTGAAGGGGCTAACAAGGCTGAGACCCTTACCCACACAGTTTTCCCAGACTTGTTTGGATGGCGGTTATCAGTAGAATGAGAGCAACATTTGTAGAATGAGAACAGCCTTTCATGGCTTACCAAGAAGTCTGTAACTATTTACTGAGATTTGCTGTACCGAGAATTTGTCCTTCTGCTGTCCTCCCTTAGAGATTAAGAGGAACAAAGAATACATTCCTCTTGACAGACCTCCTATTCAGTGTCTTGTGTATAAAAAGCATTGTGTAGTTAATAAACTTGCTGCAGTTCCTCAATTGAGCTGCAGTCCTCCCGATCCCGCTCTCCTGTCTTTCTTTCTTTTATCAATTCCCACCTCCCTACCTCAGCCCGGCTCAACCTGTCAGGCTGGCCCTGACAAACATTTAGAAAAAAATTAAGTTAGATCTGTCCCTCATTCCATACAGCCAAATGAATTCTATTCATTCATTTCTCTACTCTTTTACCCACTTATTCAACAATTATCTACTGAGTATCTACCATACACACTACGCTCTGTTCTAGGCACTGGGCAAAAACACACACAAAGTCCCTATATGAGAGAGAGAGAGAGAGAGAGAGAGAGAGAGAGAGAGAGAATGAATTTAGTCTAACATTTCACAAATACATATAAAATTGTACCTGTGGTAAGTACTAAGTAATAACAGGCAAGTGATGTTATGAAAGAATATAAGAAAGGGAACCTAGGGAGATAAGGGGAGAATTCCCCGAGGAAGTAAAACACAATTGAAATGAAAGTGGGGTTGGGATTCAGGTGAGTATTTCAGGTAATAGATATAAAAGCACTGAGTTGAGTGCTTCAGGTAGAGGGAAGCACTATGTACAAAAGCCCTGAGGTGAGAGGGACATTCAAGAAAAGCACAGTGGATGAGAGCATGGACTCTGGAGTCAGAATGCACGAATTTAACCCCAGCTCTGCCCTTATTAGCAGTGTGACCTGGGGCAAGTTATTTAACCTCTTTACTCAGTTATCTGTAATATGGGGCAATAATAATACCTACTTCATGAGAAATAATAACATCTTTCTTAATAAGCATTAAATGAAAATATTTATAAAGCATTTAAAACTCTGACACAGTATAAGTACTACATATCTACACTAATAAAAGAGAAACATGGTAATTAGCGTACGACCGCTACCCTTCCCATTGGCTAATCAGCATATCCTTATGCAAATTAACTGTCAGCCAAGATGGCGGCCGACAGCCATGTACTGAAGCGAACAGGGAGGCTTGCTTGCTCCAGTGACGGCGGACTCCAACGTTCCCCGCCTCACTTGCCGGCCTCTCAGCTGCAACTCTAAGCAACTATGTTGCAAATATAGAAGCTAAACAAAACCCCAGAAACCTGCCTTAGTCAGCCAGGCTTCAGCCAGCTGGACCGCAACATTGTATCAAATACAGAAGGAAAAACAAAGGCCAGAAACCGGTTTTCAGCAGCCGAGGCCTCAGAGCTAAAGCTGGTCCAGAATAAAAAAAAAAAAAAAAAAGGAGCGGTTGGGAGCTTCA